TTCCGCCATTCGTTAATTGCTCGATTTAGTATCGATGTTCAAATTCGTTTATATATATTTGTGGCTCCCAACATGGGTCCCGGCGCCCCACAGGCAGGCAATTTAATTTTCTACAGACAATTCGAGAATGAGTAATTAAGTGAATTTTTTGCACTTCTTTAAATGAAAATTTAACCTTCTAATCCTTTTTTCTTTCATAGATATCACGTTCTTTGAAAATTTGTTTAAGCCAAGTGAATAGTTTTTTAGACTTCCTCCACGTCAAAAATTCACTTTTTGAATAATAAGAATTACGCATCACAGAAGACACTTAATTGCTTAGGTCCAAGACATTTAGAGATGCTTAGGCCAAAAAAAGATTGGGAACCACTGGTCTATACCAACGGTATTATTTGTTGAGAACTTTGTTAAACATATGTACGATACATACAAGTACAAAAAATACATTGCAGCAAAATCTTGCTTACATCAGACCGTTCCTTTGCTCATTTCCAACATCCTTTTCAGTGCATAACGATTGGGATCGAACTTACATAATATACATAAATAAACAAAATCTTCCGAGAGCTCGAAACTCATTTTTCAATACTAATACTGATATTAAAATAATATTAATACTTGATATCAAAAGAATGCTTTCAATACGACTATATGGTGTAAATCACTAGCAAGTCTTTGTTTTGTTTCCTTGAAAACACTACCTTTCGACGCGAAACTTGACCCGAAAATTCGAAGGCAACCAAACAGACGGGAGGAAGTCGAAACAAATCGTGCAACAAGTTTCATTATTTTCGTTGAATCAACGTTCTAATAATAATAAGCACTATCGACAATAACTGTACGAACAAACAAACCGGAAACACGAAAAATTTGGAAAAACGAAATTAACTAAATTAGATCGAGTAATAACACTGGCCGTGAAACATCGAATAGCTGCGAGTAAATGGGCGTTCGTTGCGACTAGGTGTATCTACATGCATGCATGTATATTAGAAAACAAGAGAGAAAGTTCTGCTCCAGATCTGTGAAAGACACAAGATGTCTCGTCAGTGATGTGATTCCTTCGCGCGTTGCTGTTTACTTCTTTCGATTTAAAATTTTCTCGCAAATTAAACTCGCAATTTAAACTCTTCGCAAAGTTGTCCTCGTCATTAATGTTCAAGAACGAACGAAAAGCTCAGATTCACACTATTCAACAAGCTTCCTTAATAATACATGGATTAACTTGACAGATCACTTACCCGAAGTATTCGAGAGACTTTAGTAACTTGTACCGCCACTTATACGCCATTTATATTGTATTTACGATCTTGCGCATTACCACACAATTGCAAAATGTAATAATTAAGAACAATTGTAAAACGAAATAATTAAGAACGACGATCGTTAAAGTATAAACAACGATAAACGGAAAAGAATTATATTTCTCAAACTGACTCGCGAGAAAATTGAAGTTAGTCCAATGGAGGACAGCGAAGGATGTATGATGTTTAGCAACTGTACGCTTATTACGATACGTTTAATACGTTTATTACGAACGATCAATAGGCCACGATCAAATTTCGAAAGTCGACCTACTCGATTGTTTCGAATTAGAAAATCAAACTACATACCGCGTGTCACGTATTTGAGTGGCTTTTGAAATACGACCGCTCAATAACACTCTCTTATTCTTCGCGTCTCGTCATGGAAGCATTGTTGTTTAATTTTCAAAACTATCGCTGCTTGTGTGTTGCGTTACATACGTCTTCCATACGATTGGCTTACGTGTATTATATATATATATTTTTTTGACGAATTTACGTCTCATTTAAACACCAACGTTTCTTGTCAACATATTATCAGTGATAAAAAAAAAATGATTTGCCCTTGGCCGGTTCGCGGCATTTAAATAATTAAAAATAAGCGATAATACTATCAGCAACAATTATCGGTGTCACATATTTATTTCATAAAAAAACCACCTTTCTTGTAGCACAAGAGAGACACAAAATCCACACTTGTACGTTTGAAACTGAATACAAAAATTGAAAGTAAAATAATGAAATAATTCATAACTTTCAACACAAAGTATATTACAATTTGCGTGAACGCTCATAGTATGAAAAGATCACTTACTCTTCTTTTGTTGAGTTGCTCAGCTCCGTATTTGTTGCTTCTCCTCTATCAGTCTGTTCTGTAAAGTCAATGATTCAACATTAATTTTTAAATATGATAAAATTCTTTAATGCAAGTATACTATGAAAATTATATTATAGCTATCTAATAGCTCATAGCAAATATATAAGGTCACCTGCATTGACTTTATTAAGCTGGTGATTGTCGTCTGCCAATGCTTCTGCGTTGATCTGTGATTCCATTCTTCTGTAAAATAACATTACAAGTAGACGAAACTGCTTGTGTTTCGACATTGTTAAATTTTACTTGGTAATACTTTTTACACTAGGTACATTCAAAATTGGTGTACAATATAAAATCAAAGGAAATGCATGGAACATTCACTGATGAAAGAATCGTACAAGAACAAGTAAACAACTATAACGTGTTCAACCGTCGACTGTTTAACTGTTAAAAAACTAGAAGAACGAAAAATGAATTAAATTACTAATACTACTTATCTGCGCTGTTACGCGTTAACCTCTGGGATTCTCACATCTCAGATATGAGGTTATCGTGCAAATCTTCAACGCCGTTTAACGCACGATTAGAAAATATACGAAAGAAAAATACGCACCTTCAAATTCTACACGTGAAACGAAACACTTTCATCAAAGTGAACAGTTCAATTTACGTTTCACTTCTCTCGCTGTTTCACGCTGATTGCACACCACCGAAAGGGAATACATCACTCGTGAGATCTTGTTCACCGATTACAACTATGGTGACGAAGATACACTTCACTTCGAATTAATAAAAAGAGAGACAAAATAAGCTTGCAAAATAGTAGATCTGCAAAATATATCAGGTCGAACAAATTCTTTTTCTTTTTTGTCTTTGTTTTACAAACTATTTGTTCTCGTCGACAAACAATTGTTCGACAAACGTCGTAACGTAAAAAACCTGGAGTTTCGAAATCACTGAATTCAACTGCTAATAAACTACATACATGGAGCAAGCAATAGACGAACAATGGAATTTCTGTTCACATTTGTGACGCTAAATTGTTCACGCTTCAATGACGTGCTTCCATCAATGAGATGGCGAGAGAGGTTTGGTTAGTCTCAGGATATACCAACTGAGATTGACATCCAAAACCTAAAAACATAAGAAGATCGAACCTGTTTCATTCTGTATTCCTTCGCTTCTCTTCTACGGAAGTAGATTGACCGTAAAAGTGGTGAAACTAATTTAAAACTTCAAAATAACATCCGAATTTAATTTAAGAAATTAAGTTTTTGCGTGATTACACGTTTCGTGTAATAATAACAGAAAATTTCTTGCAATAATAACAAAACACCTCTTGTATGTACACAAATTGAATGTTAAAATATTTTCACGTAAATTTACCACTAAATTTGCCACTGAATTCGAGAATAATATTGAATTTAAATGTCATATGCATCTAACAGCTGTTAGCCTAACCTAGAGTTAAGGTAGTAAAGTAGAGGCAAAGTTACATCAGAAGCTACGTGACACAAAATATCTTTTTAGGAGATAACTTAAAATTATCGTCGAACAAATCAGAAAATTCATATATCTTATTTCGTAGGGACATGCCATTCATTGAACTTCATCAGTTATCGCGTTGATTTCGTGAAAGACGAAATATATGTGTTGAACATTATACGAAACAATGAGCACAATACTAATTAGAGGATACTAAATAAAGGAATACTTTCAGTAAACTCGTGCAGAAGATTGTAAAGAAATACGTGCCATTTAAAGTTGTTTTAAAACCGAGAAAATGAATTTCCATTTCTTCATGTACGATTTGTACTTCTTTCTTGCCGAAACGTTAAATACTTTTCCAACAACTTTTCTTAGGCATTATGTCTAACAATTTTGTACTTTTTTAGGATACGCATGGTATTTTCGTTAAATATGTTGATAGGGATAGTTCTGTGTAAGATGTTTTGCGTACTTATTATCTTATCTATTTTATTATTAATGTTGAGGAAACAATACTCCAAAATGCGAGCGGATAGAACGCACAGCGAAACAGTAGTAGCTTTCTTTCATCCTTATTGCAATTCTGGCGGTGGTGGTGAAAGAGTACTTTGGGCTGCAGTCAGTGCTATTCAAAACAAGTATAATCATTTTAATTAAATTAGCAGATCAAATAATAATACAATTTGATTCACATATATTGAAATTATAATTTTCACCAGATATCCCAATGTACACATAGTTATCTATACTGGAGATCTTGATGCGCATCCAGAACAAATTTTAAACAGGGCTGAAAAAGTATTTAATTACAAAATTGAGCAGAAGATTGAATTTATATATTTGCATGGACGCAAATGGGTAGAACCATCAATGTATCCATATTTCACACTTTTGGGGCAGAGTTTGGGATCACTTTGGCTAGCCCTTGAAGCTTTAAATACTTTCGTACCAGGTGAAAAAGACTTTGTCTTATATTAATGTTCGTAATTGTTTTATAAACATTATATATGACGCATGAAATATTGTTTCAGACATTTACATTGATACCATGGGTTATGCATTTACGTATCCATTATTTAGATATATTGGTGGATGTCGAATAGCAACATATACTCACTATCCTACAATTTCAACCGACATGTTGAGACACGTTTATAGAAGAACTGTCTCACATACTAACAGAAGAGTTATAGCTAGAAATCCATTTTTATCAGCAGCCAAACTTGTTTATTATAAATTATTTGGACTTGTATGTATATGAACATTAATCGTTAATTATACTTAAATATTATAATTTATAACAATTATTTTAGATATATGGTTGGGTTGGTAGCAGAGCAGAAATTATAATGGTTAATTCTTCATGGACTGAAGAACATATTAACGCAATTTGGAAATGCCCATTGAGAACTCATAAAATTTATCCACCATGCAATGTAAAGCACTTGACATCCCTGTCGCTTCCCGATGATGATGAAAAATGTAAGAACATTCGTATATTATCAGTTGCCCAATTTAGACCAGAAAAGAATCATCCATTAATGTTGAAAGCAATGTATGAGCTTAGATCAATTGTCCAAGAAGAAATTTGGGAGAAAGTAAGTTTGATACAACACAATAATGTAAATAATAAGCAATCTTTATCACATGTAATCTTTCTAGACTCGTTTAATTCTTATTGGTTCCTGTCGAAATTTTGAAGATGAAATACGTATGAAAGATATGCAGGATTTATCAAAACATTTTGCATTAGATGAAAATGTAGAATTTAAACTGAACGTACCATACTCGGAACTTCTATCGGAATTTCAACGGGCAATGATAGGATTGCATACAATGTGGAATGAACATTTTGGCATAAGCGTTGTTGAATGCATGGCAGCGGGATTAATTGTAATAGCTCATGCTTCTGGTGGGCCAAGGTAAAGTATAATTGAAAATATATAGTCTAGGGGTTCTCAATCTTTTTTTCGAAAATATATGCCAGAAAAATTGAAATTAAAAAATTTCGATATAGTCAAAAGAAGTATGTACGATTGATTCAGAGCTGTTAAACAAGCAATAAAATTAAATTTAAACTGTATAAAATAAAAATACATCCGTTAATATATAATTATAATATATGTATAATGTATGTCATAGGGCTGATATAATAGAAATACAACCAGGATCACAAAATGGATTTTTAGCTACAGAAGCTGAAGAGTACGCAACAATTATGGCACAAATTATTAACATGCATTCCGAAGGTAGAAATGCTATTAGGACGGTTGCTAGGTATCGTTATTTTTGTATTATGTTTTTCTTAATATTTTTGAAAATCTTATTGGCAATATCAGATATAAATTATTTTTACAGAGCATCCGTAAATCGGTTTTCGGACGAAGTGTTTGAAAGAGAATTCTTGCGAACGATAGAACCATTCTTTAGACAAAAACAAGAATGATAATTCTTATCGAGACATCTTATGACTAGAATTCATTTATTGATTTAATTAAAAATTATATACATAAATATTGCAAAAAAGAAAAGACATTCTATAAATTTTAATTTATAATTAATTTTGTTATTTATTTTATATTTTTATTTTCGTATCCGCAACCTTCACATTCTAAACTATATGAAGCATTACCTTCATCATCTTTATTTTCAGATAACTTAAAATGGAGATTAAATTGTTTTAAGATCAATTCTGTCACTCTTATAGCTGTTTCGGTGTGACAAGTGAGCTTTCTATTTCCAAGATTAATTTTGGAAATACCTTTGGCTAGAGCCATAAGAATAATTAGCTGAAATGTATTACAATGTCGTATTATAAAATTATAATAAGAAATTATACTCGAATTATTTTGTGAAAATATATGTACCTGATCTTGTGCATGTTCGTCGATGCAAGATCTTGCTAATATCGTATCCAAAATTTCATTAGCTGCCTGTATACCTGGTACTTGTTCTAGACATCCAGGACCCAATCCTGACGCACCAATAATACATCCACTAGTTGTAGCGCACATTACACTAATAATATTATTTGTGTTCAATTAGAAATATATAAATGTCAACAAAACTCGTAATTTTCTTCTGGACCTTACTTGATGCCAGATCCATTACCAACAGCTACAGATCTATCCTCTTTGTAAACTTCGATACTTATAGGCGGCACTGGAATATTAAATTCCTTTAAACCTATTGTCAGAGTTGATTTTACATCATTTGCCATTCTATACGCTTCCTTTAAAATAAATAAGGTATTATATTTTGTATATGTTTCAAAGCAATGCAACGTGAGAATTACATTATCAAAATAATTACAAGATACATACCTTAATATGAACGACACCCGCAACATATGCCCAACCTGTTATTTCATGTGGAATTCCTGGTTCAATTAAATTAATAGCTTTCAAAGTATATACAGGCTTAATGTAGAGATGTACCTCTCCACCACCCTTTGGGTAATAACCCCTTCACAGATTATTAAAAAATGAATATTCTATAAATGTCTGTAGTTCGTAGCAAAATACTAACAGTTTGTATACACTAATATGTACCTTGTTACAACTCTAAAATCAAAGTCAGCTCCAAATTTATTAAGTAACGGTCTGAATATCTTTGTAAAATATTCGATGTGTGGCCCCATTGGAACGTTCGTACCACCTTTGAAAATTAACGTGACTATATCTTTTTGTGGGAGGAAAAGAGCACAAGGTAAAGCTACTTGAGCCAATAAACAAATACAACCAGCAGTTCCTGTATCCATAAGGAACATGTGTCTCTTGTTTAATTGACCAGGCTTGAATTCTAAAACTGTCGAGCCTATGTAAGCACCATGAACTTCTGCATTACACATATCTCTCAACAATTCCACTCCTGTAATAATGTTTAATTAAGAGCCAAGAGAAATAAAGGATGACAAAATTAAAAACAATTTGAAGTTATATTTCAACAATTGGTACCTTTCAAATGTTGCGCAGCAAGTCCAGATTTAGGACGACCAGCTCGTATGTTATAGATTTTAACTGGAATTTTGTGTAATGCACTCAAGCAAAGTGCTATTCTTAATACCTGACCACCCTGAGAAGCAGACATAATTTTTTAAATTTCATTAAAATAATAAATAATATTAAAGTAATATATTTCATTTATAAAGTAATATATTTTATACATGAATATTATATGTATATATAATTTTTATATATACTTCTATAAATCCTAAGAAAATTCCTTTTAATTATCTAATCTTATACGATTTATAAACGAATTTTTAAATACATACACCTTCGCCTAAGTTTCCGTCAATGTGTATCGAAGACATGGTACGAATAATACAATTCTGTGCGCAAGATGTAGAATAAATTTTGTACTGAAATGTCCCTTTTCTGGAAAAGTTTAAACAAAACTGAAGTTGGTTACAATTCATGGACACGTAGCGACATCTATTTAATCTTATAGAAAGTTACCATGGAAATATAATAAATTATTGGTAAACGTTGAAATAAATTATAAAATTTTCCTTTGTAGTACGGACTTTATTACTTATCGATCATTGTACCTACAAACACTGAAATTCTAGCGTCGCGTAGTGGTAAAACGTTAGAAATAACCGCTGTCTTGTTCTATCTTTGTCACAACAATGGTCGCCCATCTTATCAATGGAGGTTTACCATTTAAATAAATGTATTACGAGATTTAACAAAAAACTATAACACAGTGAATTATTTATATTTTAATTATTTAAACATTATCCAATATTTCTAATAATTTATTTGCAACAATTAAACGATAAATTTTCTTCCATAATGTTTCTAAGTGTTATTTAAAATTTTTAACTAATAATTTGTAAGAATCTTGAACAACGTACTTAAGAAAAATGACATTGAATTATTGAATGGAATAATTAATTTATTTGTTTAATCGTAATATAAAAGTCGTGAAAATTATTAAGTAATGTCTAAAAATATTGTAGAAATAAAATAATTTAATTATTTCAAAATGAATTGTACAAATTGTAAAATAATGCATTTCGATGATATTTCTGTGTATTATTTACAACTTATAACAATTGAAACAGTGATTGAATTCTCAAACATTATTTCATAGTTTGAATAATTCATTTATAATGATTAAATTATTTTATTTACAATAACGAAAAAGACAGTTACATAATATACATATTTCTTGCTCTCTAAAACAATAAACGAGCGAAAATTCTTATGTGTTGCACGATTATTCTAAAGCAACAATCACCGCTTAATTTAATTTTTGACTACATAATTTTTCTCTACATAAATTACTATTTAATGTACATCAATGCAGTTATAATTCAAAAATTAATATCACGAAAATGTAAATTTAGTTTTAGCCGATAAAAGAATTAATAAATTATTACATTTAACATTTTAACATATTCATGAACTGTGCTCGCGAAACTTTGCGATAAAAATGTGAAAACTATTAAATTATTCATTAGTATAACAGAATACCTGTTTCTCGAAGTATAAAAAAAAATTATCAATTGTTCCGGATCACTGACGACCAAAACGTTACATTAACCTTCCATCATGTTTTCAAGTTTGAAAAAAAATTATCAACTGTTCCGGATCACTGACGACTGAAACAATAGACTAACCTTGATCGATACACAAAGAAAAAATTTTAGCAGTTTGAAAAAAAGTTATCAACTCTTCCCGATCACTGACGTCGGAAATATTAAATCAACCTCGAGTGGTACGGAGACTTATTATGAATTCAACTTCCGTCGTGTGCAGATCGATCCAGCGGAGTACCATGAACATCGTGGGATGCGTGCGCCTTAGTTTTAAGTTGCGTGCGTCTTAACTTTAAATTGCGTGCGTTTAGTTTTAGTTAATCTCTGTAAATTGAATGTAAGCACATTCTATAGAGTGATACAGTTATTACGAAACAATTTTTACTTTCTCTTTGTAAATATGTAAAATATTTTATGTATTATAAGTTAATTATAATTATTTTCAATTTGTACTTTGATTGATATTTTAATATATTGTGCTTTGATTTACTTTTCATTTTGATTTTTTCTTAATACTCCTTTTGCTGTTCGTTTGCACAATGATAAAAATTTGATCATTTTGCAATCGTATATCAAAATGAGTTTCATTTTTTTTTTTATTGAATAAATCTATTTTAAAATAAAAGAAGGATGGATGGGAGAAGAATTGGTTTCGATACGTAGCAACGTGGTGAAACTAGGGCAATCATTGTTATTTATAATACTAATTGCATTCCTCCGATATAATTATGAATTCTATAACAAATAATATAATCTAATTGGATGCGATCACGATTTTTATGTAATTAAAAAATTTGTTGAGTTATTAGAGAGATAGTTGATTTCTAAAATTATAGATTGAATTTTTTTATGATAATGTATAGTGCATTTGTAAATATTGTCGAAGACCGTAGACTTTAGATTTTAATGGATAATTCAAAACGTATGATTTGATAAAATGGTAGATCTTTTCTATGTCTCCTTTTTGGATTAAATATCAGGCCCGTTCTAAATATATTTCCCTAAGTATATTTCAATAAATAAAATATCCCGTT